GACACATGATTAATCTTAGAAGGCAAAAAATTGCCATGTATTTTTGCATTTTATTAAGATTATATTATTAAGATTATATTAAGATTATATTTGTAGTTGATTTTTTCAAATTTATGTTTAAAGTAATGCAATTCAATTTATATAAAAAATGAAAAGCACTCAATCATTGCTACAAAAAAAAAACATTTTTTTGTAACAATAAAATTTTTTATAAGATGCATTACATATTTATTATACTATTATATATTATGTATTATAGTAATATTATGTATTTTTATGAAGACCAAAATATTTTTAAATTTACCTGTACATTATCAATCCAAATTACTTTTAATTTTTATATTATATTAGCAATATTTTCTTTATGAGTATTATTTTTTCAATAAATTTAATTATTTGTGTTTAAAATATTAATATATGCTTTTAAAAATATTATTTCTTCTTTTTTTAAAATTTCATCTTTTGTCTTTCTTATTTTAATATGATAAATTGACAAAGAAAAGAATAAACATTATTTATATATATACATAATATATAGATGTATGTTAGCATAATATTTGATCAGATTATTATAAAAGATATTGCAAAAGATATGTTTTATTTATTATAAAAATTGATGATGTAATTATTCTAGTAATAGAACTAAATAATTATTCTTTTATATGATGCATTGTTATTTACAAATTAGAATTCATCCTTTCTTTTTTTTTTTTTTGATCATTTTTATGAAAATATATTTTAATATATGTATATTTAAATTAATTGAACTATTATATTTTATCTTTATCAAATTTTATAGTATGAATGCAAAAAATATAATAATAATAATTATTATGATTATATATATAATATGCATTTTAGTCATTATATTATATTTTAATATATTCTAAAGTGTATGTTGTTGAATAATTGAGTTTTATTACCTTGTCTTTATTAAGTTTCATGTATATGAATATAAAAGATATAATAATAATTATTGATATGATATTATAATAGTTTGTTTTGCTTATTCATTAACTACTTTATATGTGATAGTGAATTAAGTTCATTTTTTTTATTTTTCAGCATTGGGAATTACTTGCTATTGTGAAGGACATTGTCCAGATGATCGACAAAATGGAACTTGCGAAGGGAGACCTGGTGGTCATTGTTTTAGCGCGGTAGAAGAAGTTTGGGATGCAGAATCAGGAGAATTTGTGCCAGAATGGTCATTTGGCTGTTTACCACCAGATGAGCAAGGTTTCATGCAATGCAAAGGATACCTTGTGCCACATTTACAAGGAAAAAATATAATATGTTGTAACAAGAGTGCATTATGTAACAAAGATTTATATCCTGATTATAAACCTAGAACTACAACAGTACCTAATCCTATGGCTATAGCATCGGGTGCGCCACTTATAATATTAACTACCATTTTGTCTATATGCTTAATGGTAATTTCAATAGCTATGGTGATCATATATCATAGATACAGAAGAAAAGAAAGAGGACCTTGCTTAGTGCCTTCTCAAGGAACACTTAAAGACTTTATTGATCAGAGTAGTGGTTCTGGATCAGGATTACCTCTCTTAGTACAACGAACTATAGCTAAACAATTAGCTTTATCTCAATGTGTTGGGAAGGGACGATATGGTGAAGTATGGCTTGCAAGATGGAGAGGGGAAAAAGTGGCAGTGAAAGTATTTTTTACATTAGAAGAAGCATCTTGGTTTAGAGAAACTGAAATTTATCAGACAGTTTTAATGAGACACGATAATATCTTGGGTTTCATCGCGGCTGATATCAAAGGCACAGGATCTTGGACACAAATGTTACTAATTACAGATTATCATGAAAGAGGCTCATTATATGATTATCTACAAACTACTGTTCTAGATTATCCTAGCCTTTTAGCAATATGTCTTTCAATTGCTTCTGGTATTGCTCATCTTCATACAGAGATTTTTGGTACACGGGGGAAACCTGCTATAGCTCATAGAGATATTAAAAGTAGAAATATTTTAGTAAAAAAGAATGGTGAATGCGCAATTGCAGACTTTGGTTTAGCAGTTAGATATATTAGGTAAATATATTTTAAACTAAATAAAATAATTATGATCGTAAAAAAATGCGTGCAAATATTTCATATACAAAAGAATAAAATAATTGCATTTGCATTATATACAAATTATTGATTGTAACATTTTATTTTTAGTGAAAGCGGAGAAATTGATATTGCACCCAATACACGAGTAGGTACACGCCGATACATGGCTCCAGAAGTTTTAGATGAAACTTTAAACACATCTTCTTTTGACGCTTTCAAGATGGCAGATATGTATTCTGTTGGTCTTGTACTTTGGGAAACTTGTAGAAGATGCATTACAGGTGGCAAAAATTCTATGGTGGAACCATATGCTTTACCGTATCAAGATGTTGTTCCAAGTGATCCAGATTTTGAAGATATGCGATTAGCAGTTTGTGTAAAACGATTACGTCCAATAATACCAGCACGATGGGAAAATGATTCAGTAAATATGAAATTAGTCATATTTATAAATGGAAATATTCTGATAAAATAATTATATTAAAATTAGATATTTGTTTTTTTTGTTATAGATTTTATTTGCGCTGAGTAAACTTATAGCCGAATGTTGGCATGCAAATCCAGCCGTTCGTTTAACAGCGCTACGCGTGAAAAAGACAATATCAAAATTACATATTGACAATGCTATTAAAATCGTATAACATTTGACGATATTCGTTGGATGTATTCTATCTTATCGCTAGTAGCTAAAAAATAATTTCTTCCCTTGTAAATAACCCGGTGTATATAGATTTATTGACAGACTGCAAGCCTGAAGACTGAATAATAAGATTTAAAAATACGTAAATACGTATGTATGTGCGAATGTACTGTGATCAAATCAATCATGACTGGAGAAGAAAGAAATTATGAATGAATGTGTATATCTTTATATTGTTATAAGTAAATGCGACGAAACATGATAATAATGTTTTAACGTATTTTATTATGTTATTTTAAAATTTGAGTATGTAATCAATGATGGCCACTACTTAGAAAGAATAATTTTTATTTTCTTTCAGCCTAAAAAAAATGAAAATGTTCTAATTTCTAAATACATATAAACATAAAATGGAGATATTTAAAATGAAATTAATCGTAAAAATTTATTTAAAAAAAAAACGCAAAAATCAGTTTAATGATAGCATTTAAATTTTGTTATATATCCATCCAGTGTTATAAATTTATATATATTAAAGTTCCATCATTAACAGAATTATGTTAATCTTTATACATATATTACTTAATATATCTTTGAAATGAAGAATACAATATTAATTGTATAAAATAATTTTAATTGCAAAATGAGATGTCTTGCAGGATGTATGGAATTTTATGTTGTTTATAAATATAGCTCTATAAATTTAATTTTTACCATAATGATGTATTAAATATATATCGATTGTAAAATATAAATATGTGAAATATTCTTGTATGTCAGAATGTTTCGTATTACAAGATAAATTTTATTAATATTCAATGTTTATGAATTTCTTCAGTATGCTTATTATTAAATTCTATAATTTTGAAAATAGGAAAATTTTTTTTAATTTTTCTTTTTTATTAATACTTTTCTGTTATATTGAATCCTCTTTTATAAATACTTTTCCTTTATATAATTCCGTGTTATCTATATTTATCATACTAAATATTAAATATAATTTATATATAATTAATAAATTAAATATATAATTTTGTTTAAGAATGATTAAAATTATATTAATTTTTAAATCCATGTTTTATTAATACAATACAATTTTATATCTGAGAGAACTTCGTATAATTTAATATTATATAAATATTTAAACATTTAAATATTTTACTGAAAATATAATCGATCTGATCGAATTTGATAATAATGATTTAGATTTCATTAAAATAATAAAATTTACAAATATATTTTAAAAAAATTTTCAGTAAAAATTATCAAAAAATAATTGTGAATAAGTTCTGAATATCAATTTCAGATTGTTTCTCTCTCTTTCTTTCTATATATATATATATAT